AAAATAAAATGAACTTATTAGTTTGTATTCGAGTTACCCAACAATCCAATTTATATACCAAAATCACTTACATCAAGCGTCGTTGCCGAATTCACTTGGCAGAACAATGGATGAGAAGTGTGGATTTTTTAATTTACCAAAAAAGATGAACATCATATGTGGCTCTAAACAATACAAATCATTGACTTTTGAAACTTTACGGTGAATTGAAGGCTCATGTATAACGGCTGTTACATGAGTCAGCAGCTGAGTAATTGCCCTCATTCAAGTAAGTGGGTATGTGGACATTTCCTGTTCACAATATTTACAGTTATGCCATGTTGATTTGTTTGCTAAATTGATCAAGAAGATCAATGGGGGCCGGCTCGGTTAGCACTTAGGTAAGTTGCACTTGACAGTAAACCACAGGGATGCGCGACAGTCGAACACCCAACTCTGTAAGCAAATTATGAACCCACATGAGTTTAGCCGATGTTGAAGCAACTGACCTGTACTCAGCCTCGGTTGACGAGCAAGCGAGAGACCTTTGTTTCTTGGAGCACCATGTGATGGGTGTGCGTCAAGAAAGAGAACATGACCCATGGTCGATGTATAGTCACCACGGTCACCTGCCCAATCCGCATCTGAAAAGGCATGGAGAATGGGAGGTGACTTAAGAAAGATATTAATACCCTTATCAAGAGTACCACTTAAATACTGGAGCAAACATTGGAGAGCAGCCCAGTGGGCTGTCGTAGGACAGTTCATAAATTGGGACAATTTATTCACAGCGAAGGCAACATCCAGTCTGGTAAGAGTCAAGTATTGCAAGCTACCAACAGCAGCCCTATAATCCTTGGGTGCTTCAAGTGGTGTACCAGAAGTTGAAGTAAGATGCTCAGTGAGAATCATAGGAGTGGTAGCAGGCTTGGAGTCTATCATGCCCATTTTCTCCAACAAATCTAGGATATACTTTCCTTGATTTAGAAAGAGATCGTTTGACGTAGGCATTACCTCGACACCAAGGAAATAGGAAAGATCACCCAAGTCTTTTAACGAGAACCTGAATGAAAATTGCTTGATAAAATTGTTAAGGCAATTTGCATTAGGACCAGTAACAATTATATCATCAACATAAACAATTAAGTAAATTGGTGAATGAGCATGATGTAGAATAAAAAGAGATGTATCAGAAACACATCGACGGAAGCCAAGACCGACAAGATAAGTAGTCAGCTCAGTGTACCAAGCTCTTGGGGCTTGTTTTAGACCATGAATAGCCTTGTTTAATTTGCAGACATGATTGGGATATTGAGAGTCTAGGAAACCAGGTGGTTAAGCCATAAACACCTCATCATGAAGAGTACCCTCCAAGAAGGCATTGTTGATATCAAGTTGACGAAGATGCCAGTTTTGGGAGACGACAAGGCTAAGGAGGATGCGAATGGTGGCTGGCTTTACAACAGGGCTAAAGGTTTCGGTGCAGTCAACACCGGGCCGTTGTTGAAAACCTTTGGCCCAAGCGAGCTTTGTAACGTTCAATGGAGCCTTCTTTTGTATACTTGATACGAAAGACCCATTTGCATTTCACAATGTTAGAAACCGAAGAGGAGGATGTGAGAGTCATGTACCGAGACGATGAAGAGAGGCAAGTTCCTCTTCCATGGCTTTCTTCCAGTTGGGGACTTTTAAGGCTTGGGTTACGATTTTTGGTATTTCGGGTTTGGTTTGGGTGGTGGCAGTGTTGACATACTTTGGGTTTGGTTTAAATATGTTGTTTTTGGAACGAGTGACGATGCCAGTGGGTAGGGGTGGTGACTCGGTAGGTGTGTCCAGTGAGTTTGGCATGTTTATGGGTGTACTGGGAGCAGAGGTAATGTGGGGGGTTGGGGAGTTGATGGTCGTGGGATTTTGTGGGATAGCAGTATGAATGGGAGAAGTTGAAGTAGAAGAATTGGAGAGTGATGTTTGAGGGGAAGTGGCCATGTTTAGCGAAGTGAGTGGGCTTGATTGGGTGGGCTGTGCTGAGGAAGTGGGCTGGTTCGATGAGGAGGAAGGTGGAGTGAAAGAATCAGAGTACTCGGTGTTGGGTTGGTACACGGGATTGGTTAGTATTGGTAAAGAAATTTGGCACCATTCATTAGTGCTAGGAATAGAAATAGGAGAGTGTAGCTTCGTAAGTTGAGAAATAGGGAACTCACTCTCAACAAAGCGTACGTGCCGGGATGTAAAGACACGATTAGTAGTAGGGTCCAAACAATGATAAGCACTTTGAGTCTTGGAGTAGCCTATAAAAATACATGGCTTTGATTTTGGCTCTAGCTTGTGTTTGGTGTATGGTTTTAGCCATGGATAGCATAGGCAACCGAAACAACGTAATTTGAGATAGTTAGGAGGGGAGCCAAATAGACAATTATAAGGAGATTTCATGGAAAAAGTAGGCGTAGGGAGTCTGTTTATTAAGTAGGAGGCGCGGAGAAGGCATAAGACCAATAGGTGAGAGGGAGATGAGCGTGTGTTAAGAGAGATAGCCCTGTTTCAACAATATGGCGATGGCGTCGCTCAGCAAAGCCATTATGCTCAGGAGTATGAGGTGGAGAGGTGAGGTGAGAGACACCATCAATAGTTAAGAAAGAGGCCAAAGCTTCATATTCCCCCCCCCCCCCCCCCCCCCTTGTCCGAGTATAGGATTTTAATAGTGTGTGAGAAAAAATTTTCAACAAGAGCTTTAAACCTTGTGAAAACATGTTTTGTGTCAGATTTATTTTTTAGAGGATAGAACCAAATATATTTGGTATAGTGGTCAATGAAAATGACATAATATTTGAAGCCATCTAAAGAATGCACCGGGGAGGTCCATAAATTCGTATAAACAATATCAAGAGGAGCATTGGAAATTAGAGTAGATTAAGCGAAAGGGAGTTTGTGACTTTTATTGCATTGGCAAGCGTTACAATTAAAAGACAACGAACTAGAAACATGAAGATTAAAATCTGAAACAATGTGCTTTAAAATAGCTAAAGAAGGATGGCCAAGTCTGTGATGCCAATTTATTGCAGGAGCTTTGATAGTGGAGAGTGCTAAGATAGTGGAAGACGAGGGCCATTCATATATCCCATTTTTAGTTGGTCCCTTCAGAAGATGTGCCCCCGTGAGTCGGTCCTTCAAAAGAAAGGAATCAGATGGGAATTCTATAACAAGATTATTTTCGGAACATAGTTTGGAAATAGAAATAATATACGAGTCATACTAGGAGCACATAAAATATTAGATAAAGATAACGTTTTAGATGAATTAATCGGAAAGGAAAGAGAACCAATATGAGTAATGGGAATACCACGACCATTACCTATGACAATTTCTTCTGTACCATCGTATGGGTGATGGAGAGCAAGGTTAGAAAGGTCATGAGTGACGTGATGAGAGACTCCTGTGTCTAAGAGCCAAGAAGGGGGATAGTGTGAGGTTGCGGATGTGGCAACATGAGCTTGTGGTGGAGATTTGGTGTTGTGTGACGGTGGGAGTGTTGGTTTAGCATCAGGGTACCTTTGATGAAAGGTTGGGCAACGGTATAGGGAGTGACCGTGAGCATGACACCATTGGCACCTGCCTTTGTAACCTTGCCCAAGTTATTTGTGTGTGGTATTGTTCTTCCCATAGTTGGAGTTTGATTTCTGGTGATAGTATGGGGTATGGGAAGGAGGAAGAGAGGCAGAGGCTTGTGAGGAATTGGCAGAAGAGCTAGTGGTGGTAGGATGGGCCGTAATAGGTAAGGGAGTGGAGATGGAGTTGTTGCGTAAACTGACCCCTTTGAGGAGTAGTTTTTCATGCAATTCATCAAAGGATATTAATGTGTCACAGTTGTTTGTGGCATTAATAACAGACTGATAGGCAGAGTCTTGGAGACCCTCAAGAACACGCTCAATCAAATCATCTGGTTTGCAAGGCTCACCAAGGACAGCAAGTTGATCAACAAAAACACGGATGGCATTCATATACTTCGTGATACTCTGTGTGCCTTTGGTAATGGAACGAAGGTTAGTTTTAAGGAGTTTGGCATGACCACGAGTGTATGAACGAAGGTTAGTGACGAGCAAATGTATGAGCAAGAATGTCCCATGCTTCCTTAGTTGTCGTGGCTCAGGAAACAAGAGGTGAGATGTTGGATTTGAGAGTACCAAGAAAAGCACCAAACAGGAGCTTATCTTGACGAACCCAAGTGGTGTAGTCTGGGTTGGGAGAGGCGACATCATTGGTGGTGAGCGTGGGTTGTGGGGAGGGGTATGAACCATCAAGGAACTTGTAAAGTCCATGGCCGACGAGTATAGCTTCAATTTGTAGCTTCCAGGAGAGGTAATTCAGGTTGGTAAGTTTAATGACATTGGTTAGATTGACAAGGATAAGAGGAGCGGATGGTTGGACATCATTGGGGATTGTGGTGTTGGTAGCCATGGAAAGGAAGAGAAGCGCAGCAAGGAAAGAAAAATCAGGTGATTTAGATCTTACTGCTCTAATACCATGAAAGATAAAAAATGTATATTGAATTGTATATCTTGAAGAAAAGTGTACAGCCATATTTATAGAGGATACAACAAGCAGTAGTTACAATAATTATCTATAAGCTAAATACTAGGAGATGATAATGTAACATGGTTGAGATAATATCAAACAATATTATCTATTGCTATTGTGAAGCGTTGGATAATACCAAGTGATTAGGTAGTATCTCTATCACTTAGTTGGGCCTAGTGTTTTGTGAATCGAAGAAATGAAAAAGGCTTAGCTTTACAATAAGTGAGCTGCACCTCAAATCCAAATTCCTTAATTCCACCCTTGCTACTTTTTTTTTTTCAAGTCATCAGTCATTTGGCTTGGTCAAAATTCATATTAATTCCAAATTAAATGAAATTAGGGTTAAATTATTAAAATAATTTTTTCCTAAAAAATAAAAGGAATTACAATCATTTCGAAACAGAAAATGTAAAATAAAATGCAAAAAGTCTAGAGACTCATAAGCCAAATTCAAAATTTAATAATTGAATTTATCAAAGTCTCATATCAAAACAGTTTATTAATCATAAGATATTTTGTCATCCAAATAGAATAATCTACTGGTAAAACTGTAAAATTACCTTTTTATAACCCTAAATACTCATCTTTTATCTCACTTTTTACCCCTCAATGAACAAATCTATCTATGTACAAGAAAATCATATGATGTATTTTGTCAAGTATATTGTATATACTACTGTATCACTGTTTGGGCCCTAATCCAAGTTTACAAATTTGTTCCAAGGGTGGAGTATCCCACTTAGCTGCTTTTTTCTTCATCTGCTTAAAATCCTTCACACATTGTTTAACATTCATAGTCTTAACTCTTTTCCTAAATTGGGCCAGTTTCTTACCAGCAGCTTCATCAAACATCTCCTCCCAGCCCACTTCCCACTCACTATGAGCATTACAAAGCTCGATTGAGCCGCTTGTCCAAGGAGTCCAACTCCACCCTTTGCTCAGCCCAACCATCACATCAGCCACACAAGAACCCGTACAAGTGGGATTGCAAGGTCTGCACTTGGCACCGCTTAAGGGCCCAGGGCTTGATAGAGCAGCAACAGGCACATCAAAATGACCCGGTGGGAATGGATACTTGCGGTCTGTTACAATGCAGAAGGGTTGAGCCGGGGTCTGGTATGAGACATTGTGAGAGGTGAGTTGGGCTTTGAATGCAGTCTCGGAGTTGAGCTGAGTGTAGTTCAGTTTATCCAAGGTGGGAATGAGTGACAGACGGGAGAGTGCCACCACGGAGGTATTATAGTCCCCTACGCCAAGCCGGTCATTGAGGCCACTGAATGAGGACCCCGGCGGAACCACGTATTTACCCGGGATAAAGCTATCCGAGCTCAGTGGGGCAGACCAATAGCCATCAACACGGGTTCGGACAATCCAATCATATGTAAAACCCTTCTCCCTTTGGTAGTCATTGATCAATGTTAGACATCCTTCCACCAAACTGAAATATTGTAGTAGTCCCTGAAGAAAATTCAAGTAGCCCTTTAGAGTGATATATAAAATCTCACGTGAACAAAATTTTCAAGAGCATTTATAATTATTATTATTATTATTGCAATTTGCAATACATCAACACCATACTTTTTATCAAGTAAAAGAATTAAATGTATAACATTAAATTAATCCTATCACACGCAAAGTTTGTTACTCCGTACCATGTAACACTCTCCTTACTTCGTGGTCCCAAACCCAACAATTTGAAGTTTCTACCAAACTTTGGAATGCATTTTGTCAGTTAAAATCATCCAATTTTCTATCCAAAACTCAATTGAATAAAATTTATCCAACCAAGAGACTGCTACCTCTAATCCTAAATACTCGTAGAACTACATTTTAGTTCGTAAACTTACAACGGATATATGAATAAGAACATTTCTAACTTGTAAATACTACAATAAACTACTCCGTATAATTTCTCAATTAATGTGCTTTCTTTTAAAGCAAGTACGAAGTATATTCTAGTTAGAACTTTAATGACTCCCTTTCAAAAAAAAAAAAAAAAAAAAAAAAAAAACTTGAATGACTAAATGCGACATTATTTTAGAGCCAAGTAAATCCCCTAATAATATATTGGTATTTGTGATTATTTAACGTCTAAATTGGTTTTTCTAATTAAAAAACAGAAACTGGTTGATTATTAGTTAAAACGGTTGAGTAATTAAATCAGCAGTCCTGTTATAAATCAAGCAAAAAAAACTATCACACGTTGAAACAAAACAGAGAGCGCCATTGCAGGTGTCGTGCCAACCATAACTAGAGAGTAGAGAGTGACACAAACATGATACGAGTACATGACAACATTTACAACAACCTAAGTCACCAGGTTTTCAGCAACATTCGTTCTTTTAATTCATTAAGAATACCCGACGTTCCAATCATATTTGACTTCTAAGAACTTATTAAAAAAAATGCATATTTTGAATATTTAATTTTCGGACCACCAACTAAGATTTTTGAAGTTTCAGCAAATTGATTGCGATGTGTCCAATCTTTCTATATCTATGTTTAATAAATAAATTATAGTAGTAATATGCTCAAGTTCATGTATATGATTTCTTAGATCCGACTTCTAAGGAGACTAAGCTGTCATGACTCATGCAGCTATGCATCGAATCATTCTTTCAAGTGGGAGAAACATGCAAGTTTGATGTACGGTTAACAAGGGTATAAAAATTTTACAACCAAAAAAATCATTAAAGAATGTATTTATCATATAATTATATAGTCATCATCACATCAGTCCATTAATTAAAACATTAAAACAAAAATCATGGGGGAGTAGTCTTTAGAGTTTAGACTTCATTCATGCCACGTCAGCTTTTCACTTAATTTATTCTATTTTTATTCTTCAAATTCTTGTTAAGACTCCTATTAGTCCTGTACTCCTATAATCCCTCATACATAATTAAAGCTTCGTTCTCAAAATATGGGTCATATTACTTTTTTATTATCCATGTTGAATCTCAAGTGGAGTCTTGGTTTTCATATACTTGACTTTATTGTTTAGACTTTCATACAAAGATCAACGAGTAAAAAGTCAGTCTTGTGTGCACATTTTGACCATACGCTGTCTAATGTACACATTTTGTTACGCACAAGCATGTGAAGGACACACATGCTCGTATTGACATGAGAGCACCATTTCGAGTACTCCATTGTAAAATGATTACAAACAATATATATGAAACACCAAACACCCATGGAAAATGCACGACTCAAAATCTAACATCCAAAAGTGTAAAGCAGACCCCAAGCATAGGTAAATTTCTAGCCCTCAAAATCTAGTCTTTCACGCATTGATGAACCAGGTAAGAATAGGATACTTGGAAACTTAGAACCACACAATTCTTTCCAAGTTGGAAACTTATGCATTGAACTTCCTTTACCTTAAAAAGAAAGAAAAGAGTAGATGCGCAAATGTCTCTATTCTTTTCCACAATCCCAAATTTCAAACCCATTAAAATAATCAACGAGTTACCAAGATTTGTTGACACTAAAAGGTTACCGTAGAACTTTTAGCAGCAATGCAAGTTACTTCTTGAATAAGATAGATTTCTCAAAACTTATATTTTATTGGTGTGTTACTATAATAAATGTAGCCCTAAGATTTTCCCTTAATGTTAGACTAAAAGTAGGAGTGCTTTTCAACCAAACAATTGCCTAAAAACAACCTATATCGTGTCTACGACAATCATTGTTATTAAAATCCCGATTTAAATCTTAGAATCTTACGATTTTACGATTCATGTATGTCATACGATTCGATTTACGATTCTACCCGATTTTAAATATTTTACTTAACTAGCGAAATCCTTACAAGTTTAAAACATGCCTACATAGTTATTTATAAATATATATTGTCAATTATTGATTGTTTAATTGGTAAACAACTATTTTATATTAATAATTAAGTTTCAAACTCATAAATTAAACATATTTATTTAATTTTGGATATGACGTCTTGATTATACATGTCGGTAGAATTTACGATTCGATTTTGAGAGCCCTTTCTGATTCAAAGTAGAATTCCGATTTTAATAACTCTGACGACAATAACACTCTTACTAATCCTTTACCTAAATGTTAGAATAAAAAATTATGTTCCTAAACTAAAATTTTGTTTTTATGGTAGAAAATCTAATGTACCTCTAATTTAAGATTGTATAATGGGGAGAAGTAAGAGGAGCATGTGTTGCCGGCTATTAGGCCCACTAAGGCACCAAGCACAAAAACAACCCGAAACCAAATCGACCCCATCCGGTTAGCCAAAGTCCCCAACCATTTTAAAAGCCGGCCTAGACCGGTTTGGCTTAAGGCCCGGGACACAACCCATCCGGGTTTGCTCTTTATATGTCATCCAAAATTCCACATCAACCAACCCGGCCTCGTGGCCACCTCTAACGACCAATGGTCTAAATAACACAAATAATTTCCTACCCTCAAGAGTCAAGACTCAGGACACATTATCAGTATGATGAATTTTCCTAGAATTGTTCACCAAATTATAACCTAACTAAAATAAAATAAAAAATAATAATAATAAAAAAAAAAAAAAAAAAAAAACACTAAAACCAAAAACAAATGAACAATGCCATTTACATGTTCGTAATTGTAATGATCATATTGAACCAACTTAATTTGGCAGTTTAGCAACATTGTCTTATCTATGCATTCACCACCAATATTTCCTAAATACGAAGTCAAGTCTACAACAAGCCACCGCAAAAACATGACATGACTAATCAACTAAAGGAAATAGACTAAATTAAATTAATTCGTATTTTTTGTTTTTTCACATCACAGTGAAAACATTCAGAAACCGTCCAATTTCCAATCTCAGATTTTTTTTTTATTTTTTTTTTTTATTTTTTGGTGAAGTCCAATCTCAGAATATTAAAAACAATAAAATATAACTCCCATAATCTCCATTCATCTAAAATTAAATGCATTCAAATTTAATCAAACATACCAAATAATAATTCAAATTTCATAATTATAATGCTTAATTGCAGGATTAAATTCAAATTTAATTACCTGAATGCCATTGGGCGAGTTAGCGGCAGTGAGAACGCGAACCTGCGACTCAGTTTCAGGAATCGGGGTTGGCTTAAAAATCCTAACCGAGTTAAGTCGAGGAGCAAACTTCAACAAAGACAACTTAAAGGACTTGGAATCGAGTGGACTATTCAAGAATAAGTCCGAGTTAGGAAACTCTTTTAGGACTCGTTCAATTATAGAAGGACCAGTGAGTTCGAACCTTCTAGCACCACCCACCAAGCACACCGCAATCCTTGACTTGGTCAACTCCGATTTCCGAATCTCCTCCGCCGCCGTATACGGCGGTTTTCGTAAGCTGAACTCGATTATTCCGGCGCCGCCGTAAGTGGAGAAGTAAAGGAGGAGGAGAAATAAAGAGGAGAATAGTATGAGAAGGAGACGGCAATTGAGATCGGATACCCACTTTGAAAATTGCATCGATTTTCGAGGACTATTATTATTATTATTATAATTTCCATTCATATTATTGTTTATAAAAACTGGAATATTTTTTGTTTTTGTTGATGTTGTTCTTCCTTGGTGTTGTTGTTCCATGGTTACCAACTGTTACTTTGACGGAGAAAGCATGTAGGAGAGAGAAAGGAAAAGAGAGGAGAGAGAATTTCAAAAAATTAATTTTGGGGGTTTTATTTATGCTTGGAAAGTGCAGAAGAATTATATTTATAATTTTTGGATTTGAAGTGTTTTGTTTTTTTTTTTTTTGAATAGGAGAAAATTGGGTAGGTGAAAAGATGATATGAGGGAGGTTTGAAGTGAGATGGGAAAAGGGCGATTTATTTGTTTTAGGGGTTATCTGTTATCAATTGGGGGAGGTGGTGGGGGGTGACCTTAATGTTGTTATTTTGGGAAGGTAAGTCTCAAGAATTATAAGAGAAAAAGGAGATAGAATTGGAAGTTAAGTAATGATGAAGGTGCTCACCAAATTGATTGTACTTTGTGGAGCTATTAGTTTCTAACCCGAATCGTTAAATTCGACTGTTTTGAACCGATTCGAAAATAAATTAAACCGTTAAAAATCCATTTTTAGAAATCGAAAATCGACCCGACCCAATTTTTTAAAACCCGAAATTGAACTGAACCGAAGTTGTGCGAACCGTTACTAACCCGACCCGTTATCAAGCCAAACTGTTATAACCCGAAACTGACAATAACCCGAACCGATTACGTCTGAACCCGATAGTAACCCGACCCATTTTAAACCGAAAATCGTTTAAACCCAACAAAAATCCGATAAACCTGAACCGGTCCAACCCGTAACCCGTTGTGACCGAACCATTTATAACCCGTAACCCGTTATGACCAAACTGTTTCCAACCCGTAACCCATTGAGACCGAATTGTTTACGACCCGTCACCCGTTGAGATCGAACCGTTTACGACCGATAACATGTTATGACTGAGTCGTTTACAACCCGTAACCCAATATGTTTATGATCCGATCCTTTTTAACCCACTACTCGATAAATCTAACTTATTTATGACTTAACTTGATTATAACATGACCCTTTCCTACCCATTATCTGACTAACTCGATTCGATAACGATCCGACTCAATTATAACCCAATATTATTTGGACTGAAACCCTCTTTAAATTGGGTAAACCTGTTTTCAAACCGACCAAGTTCACTCCAAACCCATTATGACCTGAACCGATAATGATCGGACCCGATTTCACCCGATCTGTTTTGAACCAAAACCCATTTTCAAACCGACCGAGTTTAACCCAAACTGATTATGACCCGAACCGATTACAAGCTGATCCGATTCGGACCCGAACTGTTTTAAATTGAAACCCATTTTAAACTGGCTAAACTCGTTTTCAAACCGATCCGATTCAGCCCAAAATGATTATGACCCGAACCAACTACAACCCGACCCGATTAGGACCCGATCCGAATAGAAACCGCAATTAAAAAAACCAAACTGAACTAACCCGATGAGTTTCAAAACCGACCCGCTAATCTTTTCAACCCGTTATAACCCGAAACTGATAAACCCAACCCAAACCCGTTTACCCAAATTGCCGCCCCTAGTACTTTGTAAAAAATTTGACGTGGGTAGACTCAAAAGTGGAAGCACAGTCATGATTCAATACAAGGGGATTTTGGTCGTGGGTTAATAATGGGTAGAATTGGCAATTCGCATTGGGTTGTGCTCGTGTTGGTTGGTCATGTTGGAATTTTGTTACAAAGATTGGCATTAAAATTCTTGATCATATTGTGTTGATGTGGCTTATGCCTAATAAAAAGGTTAGGGTATTGCTAAAGCAACCTAAGTTTACTTAATGTAATCCTTTTATACCTAGTGTCGATAGGCCTTTTGTTATGATAAGATAAGTTTTGGAAAAATAAGCTTTAATTAGGTATGATAAGGCTTATACAAGTTCAATTCATAACTAAAATGTTCTAATAAGGTTTGAAATGTTTGATAAATTCGGATGAGTGCATCGAGGCGCATAACACCTATTTATTTCGCATGCACATAGAAGGGCAATCTAGGGGTTTTATTTTTTTTTTACATTTTATGGTTCTCTCTCTTAATGGTATAGTGGTACATTTTTGTGTATTATTATGCATGTATAATGTACCATTAATGTATAAGTTATCTTAATACTATTATTATGTCTCACAGTGGTATAATATTTGATGTACTATTTACATATCCATTTGTATCATTAGTTAAATATTTACACCATTATACCATTTAATGGTACTATTTATTATGTATTGGTATTTTTTGCATCTTATATTTTATCTATGTCGATGAATATTGTAATACCCTGGAAATTTCCTTATTTTTAAAAATACTCACTTTACACTAAATAAAACTCTTTTTAAGAAATAACCAAAATATTACCGCCACCGTGAATAACGGCTAAGGCAAATTTTCAAAGTCTCACAGCGAAAGTCTAAAACATAAAAACCAACATTCAAAAATAAAACTTGAGTTCACAACCTCAAAACAAAAGTAGAATAAAACATTCACAAGTTGGAACCAATTCAAACATGGCCCTTCCTTAAAACCAATTAAAAATAAACATAATATTGTTAGTCCATAAACAATAACCAATAATTCAAAAATATCAAAACTAAGAAACACAACAAGTAACTCTCAGCACTCATTCCCATCATGCTCTTCATGCTTCAAGTACATGTTACTTCCTCTTTATTTCAACCTTCTGCTCACCATATAAATGAGTCATAGTAGGGCCAATCCAAAGGAAAGCTAAACACAAACACAGAAGTACGAATCAGCAAAGCTGAGTACATATGCACCACACTAACATGAATATCCTAGCATCAATATAAAATAATTAAAAACATGCTCGCCATATAATCACAAGTGAACTGTCTTACCTTTGACTCATAACTAGCAATATTAATTATTAATAATAATTTTGGATTACGCATCGAACGAGTTTCCTTCCTTGAAAATAGGGCATTTAAATATTGAGCTTCCAATCAGGGAGCTACCCCAATTGGCACCTACTATGTCACACTTGTGACGGAATTCCAGCGCATAAATAATAAAAGAAAGTACAACGTCCTGTACCCCTGTAGATGCTATGGTTAAATATAAAACCTCATAACTCCCCCCATATGTTCATACTCAAGGTATATACGTTCCAAGAGTTTTGGTGCGTATCCTCTTACACTTTACGTGATTTACCAATTTCACTTGTGATGACTCAAACCATTCAATCAAGAATAAACATGACAACAATCAACACATACTTCCAATTCATTCTTGAATTAATTAGTGAGCACATACTATTTATTTTAATTAGGGTTCCCTGGCTAGTTTTGTGCACAAAATTGCACGATTACTACCTTGGTGCATAAAATGCACTACTAAACTTCCTTGACTCGAACTTAGCTTACATGAACGAGTAAATAAATAAATTAACTTCTTGACTCAACACCAATAATAAATGGGTGAGAAATAAATTCATGAATCATGGTCAATAATTCTAATTGTAGCTCTTTAATTCATATATAAGTCTTGCTTATTAGATACATGCCTTCTTGATACTTGAAAATAAAACATACTTCCATGACTCATACATATTTAACTTGTATCATGCCTCAAATAACATATTCACATGCTTACATAACAATTCATGCTCAACCAATATAAATTACAAGTATATAATCAGCCAAACATGCTACTAATTCATCACTTAAATCATACTTTACAATCCTAGCATGATACTACGTATACACAAATATTCTTGTGCACATATGTACCTTGAAAGCTACACTCGCTAGAAATCACCTAGCTCGAAACTTCTTACAAATAAGAATACATAACTATAATTAATCTACTATTCTCACAAATTTTTAGCAACTATAATACACTTTAAACCTTACTAATCAACCCAATTTAATGACATAAAAGCCATAAAACCTTTTCTTTAAGTGGGTACTTCAAATCCTTTTAAAAAGACTTAATTTTTATGACTTAAATAAAATTCCAGCATACTTATTTAATATAAAACATCACTAATAGACTAGAAAATCATATTTAAATCATTAAAACCTTTTTCCCTTTTATGGGTAATCAAACCCTAACTCAATAATTAAAAAGTAGTGTGCATAAATAAATTCCAGCATTAATTTGAGGGTTTTAAACTCATTAAAAACATGTTTAAACCATTAATTAAACAACAACAACCTAGGATCAAACCCTAACCATAAACCATAGATTCCCAAATTCTAGGTTTTGTAATTTAGGGTTTTTGATTTGATAAAAATCTAAAAACTATATGAATAATTTAACAACATTAAATATCCAAAATCAATACCAAAACATAATCAAAATCATGCTTTAAATTAATTAAAACAACTAGAATTAAATTAAAAAGAGAAAAGAGTTTTTTTTTTCCTTTGTGCCAAACCGAAAAAGGAGGGAAGGAGGAGAGAGGACCGGTGGCGCAAGGTTACTGCCGGTGCTGTCGTTGCTCACTGGTGGTGGTGGCACCGGTGGTTGCACCCTACAAATAAATATAACCTTAATTAATATAAGGTTAACAAATAATCACAACAATTAAATTAAAAACCCCAACTCTATATGTACATGAATCTTTTAAATTATTTTTCATAAACATGAATAAAAATCTGATTTTATTTAATTAAAACTACTCATAATAATTTTTATAAAATCCCCCATAATAATAATTAATAACTAAATAAGAGAAAAGAAGAAGAAAAGGTAGAAAACCAAGGAAAAGAGAAAGAGAGGTGGCGGCAGCTAGCGGCTGCCGGGGCGGTGATTGTTAGTGGTGGTCGGCGGTGATTGGTGGTGGTGGTGGCGCAAGAACAAGAAAAAGAAGAGAAAAAGAGAAGAGAAAATTAAAGAGAGAGATTAAAAGAGAATTAGAGATTTTGGTGTGAGTGTTTAGTCATGAATCAATGGGTATTTATAGGCTACCTCATGCATGAATTATGGTAATGATGAGTGACATTTATGTCACTCTTAGGGGTAGTATTTAGGTCTTTTTCCTCTTATTTTTCTTAGGTTTTTCCACCTCATTTATCCTCTTATGGCTTCTTTATGTGTTGATGAAAAGTAATGCTTATTTGCGCTTATTTTGATAATCTTTATGCATTATTTTATCATCCCCATGCTCTCGTGAACTTTGGTATCTTCTGCAGGTTCCATGACGGTCCTATGCACGGTGGGAGGCCCCTTGGCCAAATATGGAAGCCATGGACAAAGGCAAGAGGAGCAAAAGGGAAGGAGAGGAAGCAAGAAAAGGAAGTGCAAGAGGAGGTGTGGCCGAACCTCTGAAAGGTCCGGTCGAACCTAGGTGTGGTCAAACTTTTGAAAAGTTTGACCGAACCTCCAGGGTGCAGTGAAGGCAGTGTCAAACCAGTTTTCAGCAATTTTGCAGGAGAGGTCGAACCTCAAAAGTTCGACCAAACAAGGATCAGGGAGGTTCGACCGAACCTACACAGGGTTCGACCGAACCTACCCTGAGTCCGACCGGACCTACCCAGAGTTCGGTCGGACCTTTTCCCGATCTCAGCCAATTTTGTACGGACTATTTAAGGTCCTTTTGAGATCGTTTTTTCGCGAGAGAAGAAAGACAGTAGCCTAGTTTTCAGAAACCTCTCTTAGTTTGAAACATTCCTTAGGATTAATTTAGCTTAGTTTTCATCAAATCAAATCATTGTATTAGTGAAATTCAAGAATTATTCTCAAAGTTTGGCAATTTGTATTCAACATTTGAAGCTTCAATTAGTAATTTCTCCAACCTTTTTCCTTTTAATTTCAGATTTTATTTGGTATTTGCATGTTATTTAA